CCCAAAAGTGCTGCCTGGGGACTGCCCCCCTAGCTACGCTAGTGCAGCAGGCACGGTGCCACGAGGCTGTATGGACTTAATCCACTGCGGGAGGAACAAGAGGTGAGGCAGAGGACCCCGCCTTCATCACCATCACTTGACACTATATCCTGTGATGCTCTCCCTCACTATACTAACACAATCCCCTATATAGTAAAACCTCCATATAACGGACATCTCTATAAATAATCCGTTATAGCTGGGGGTTTCACAGCTAATGGACCCTCGATATAACGGACTTTCACATCTATATAGTTCGTTAAATGGAGGTTTCACTGTATACCTGTATTGTCTATAAATCCTGAATTCTATACCTGTATACAAGGACACGTACAGTACATAAACACGAACACGTACAGTACATGAAGGTCGTGACTGATGACCCTGAACACGTGAGCCTCGACATGAAATAATGAACACGATATAAACAGGTGTTCAAGGACCTACCTGGGCGTCTGCACAGGTAAGTATTTCATTAATTAATTATTAACCATAGGCATTGGACCCATTGAGACCCGGCAGAGGGGGAAGAGAGGAAGGAAGGGGGAGAAGGAAGGGGAGGAGGGAGAAGGAAGGGGGAGAGGGAAGGTAGGGGGGAAGGAAGGGGAGAGAGGGGAGGTAGGGGAAGGAAGGGGAGAGGGGAAGGTAGGGGAGGGAAGGGGGAGGGGGAAGGAAGGGGGAGAGGGAAGGAAGGAAGGGGGAGAGGGGAAGGGGGGAAGGAAGGGGAGAGGGGAAGGTAGGGGAAGGAAGGGGAGAGAGGGGAAGGTGAGGGGAAGGGGGGAGAGGGAAGGTAGGGGAAGGAAGGGGGAGAGGGGAAGGAAGGAAAGGGGAGAGAGGGGAAGGTAGGGGAAGGAAGGGGGAGAGAGAAAGGGTAGGGGAAGGAAAGGGGGAGAGGGGAAGGTAGGGGAGAAGGGAGAGAGGGAGGTGAAGGAAAGGGGAGAGGGGAAGGTAGGGAAGGAAGGGGGAGAGGGGAAGTAGGGGAAGGAAGGAGGAGTGGATGGGGAGAGGGGGGGGAAAAGGTGACGAGAAGAGAAGTGAGAGGAAGGTTAAAGAGAAGAGGGAGGGAGGTGAAGGGAGAACTAGGGAGAGAGATAGGGATTAGGAGTAAAGGTTAAGCTGCAAGGTTAGCTGCTGAAGTTAAGCCAAGGCTAGTTGAGTTAAGCGGATTAGTAGGTTGCTAGGTGAAGCTGGGTTAGTTTGTTGGCTGGGTTAGGTTGTTGCTAGGTTAAGTTAGGTTAAGTTAAGTTAAGTTTAGAATACGTAAAACAATATTTAACTGTTAACTTTCACCATAATGTATTATATACCAGTTCATAGGGAAAGTTTGTACAGGTATTTATCATGTTAATTGCTTCACTACAAGTAATTACAGGTACAATATATTTATCTCCCACACAAATAAACACACACACCATGGATACAGACACTAGGAGGGGTGTGGGGGGGTATGGAGGGGAGGGTGGGGGGTGGTGGGGGTGGGTGGGCTCAAATAATAAGTTGGTTCAAAATAAGATGATTGTTGTAACTTGAGGCTTGGCTTACTGACACACACACACACACACACACACACACACACACACACACACACACACACACACAACATCCAACCCAAACCATGTACTGATCACCAAAAGCACAGCCCATCACCCCAAAAGAACAGCCCCCACCACCACCAAAAGAACAGCCCCATCATCAACAAAAGAACAGCCCCATCATCACCAAAAGAACAGCCCCACCACCAAAAGAACAGCCCCATCATCACCAAAAAGAACAGCCCCATCATCACCAAAGAACAGCCCATCATCACCAAAAGAACAGCCCCATCATCACCAAAGAACAGCCCCATCCCATCATCACCAAAAGAACAGCCCCCATCATCACAAAATGAACAGCCTCATCATCACCAAAAGAACAGCCCCATCATCACCAAAAGAACAGCCCCCATCATCACCAAAAAGAACAACCCCATCATCACCAAAATAACAGCCCCCATCATCACCAAAAAGAACAGCAGCCCCATCATCACCAAAAGAACAGCCCCCATCATCACCAAAAGAACAGCCTCATCATCACCAAAGAACAGCCTCATCATCACCAAAGAACAGCCCCATCATCACCAAAAGAACAGCCCTATCATCACCAAAAGAACAGCCCCTATCATCACCAAAAGAACAGCCCCATCATCACCAAAAAGAACAGCCCCCATCATCACCAAAAGAACAGCCCCATCATCACCAAAGAACAGCCCCAACATCACCAAAAAGAAAAGCCCCATCATCACCAAAAGAACAGCCTCATCATCACCAAAAGAACAGCCTCATCATCACCAAAAGAACAGCCCCATCATCACCAAAAGAACAGCCCCATCATCACCAAAAGAACAGCCCCATCATCACCAAAAGAACAGCCTCATCATCACCAAAAGAACAGCCCATCATCACCAAAAGAACAGCCCCCATCATCACCAAAAGAACAGCCCCATCATCAAAGAACAGCCCCATCATCACCAAAAGAACAGCCCCCATCATCACCAAAAGAACAGCCCCCATCATCACCAAAAGAACAGCCCATCATACCAAAAAGAACAGACCCCATCATCACCAAAAGAACAACCCCCATCATCACCAAAAGAACAGCCCCATCATCACCAAAAGAACAGCCCTCATCATCACCAAAAGAACAGCCCCCATCACCAAAAGAACAGCCTCATCATCACCAAAAGAACAGCCTCATCATCACCAAAAGAACAGCCCCATCATCACCAAAAAGAACAGCCCCCATCATCACCAAAAGAACAGACCCCATCATCACCAAAAGAACAACCCCATCATCACCAAAAGAACAACAGCCCCATCATCACCAAAAGAACAGCCCCATCATCACCAAAAGAACAGCCCCATCATCACCAAAAGAACAGCCCCATCATCACCAAAAGAACAGCCCCATCATCACCAAAAGAACAGACCCCATCATCACCAAAAGAACAGCCCCATCATCACCAAAAGAACAGCCCCATCATCACCAAAAGAACAGCCCCATCATCACCAAAAGAACAGCCCCCATCATCACCAAAAGAACAGCCCCCATCATCACCAAAAGAACAGCCCCATCACCACAAAGAACAGCCCCATCATCACCAAAAGAACAGCCCCATCATCACCCAAAAGAACAGCCCCATCATCACCAAAAGAACAGCCCCATCATCACCAAAAGAACAGCCCCCATCATCACCAAAGAACAGCCCCATCACCACCAAAAGAACAGCCCCCATCATCACCAAAAGAACAGCCCCATCACCACCAAAAGAACAGCCCCCATCATCACCAAAAGAACAGCCCCATCACCACCAAAAGAACAGCCCCATCACCACCAAAAGAACAGCCCCCATCATCACCAAAAGAACAGCCCCATCTGACCTTCGTAATCACCAACTACTACATAACCACCTCATGTGTTGACTCCCTGTTCAACATATTCCAGCACTGTAACTGTCCTGGAATGCCTTGTTAAGTGACCCTCTCCTCCTCCTTGTTATCATGTGTTATATGTATACAATTTATGTCATTTGTTTGCATATATTGTGTTTGTCGGCTGTGTTTGTTTAGAAAAATTTAATTGTTGTTATTATTATTATTATTATTATTATTATTGTTGTTGTTGTTGTTGTTGTTGTTGTTGCATGTCATATGTAGGTTTAGTGGTATACACAGACACGTGGATCTATACAAACACACATGAGGATATATGTATACACGTATGAAAACTCGCTCACATATGAACACACACACTTGCGTTAAATTGCCCGGGCACGACAACATGTACACACAAATACTCTCTACACCAGTGAGAAGATATAAACTCCAACAGAGTACAGAGAATATTTCCCAACATACCATCTTCTTTATTCTTGCCTCCTGTCTTGGTGTTAAGTGAACGTACGAGTATCCAGCTAAGATAAAGTCTAAAATCCTTACTTTACACTTACATTTCACCATAAGTCAAAACAATTAAGTACATTTACATCCTTACTTACAAAGACCACATAATATAATTTTTTTATTAATAATAGACCTTGACAGAAGATTTATAAAAGGTTACGGCGTATATAGTGAAGATGTTCTTATATTACTTAATCATATAGTCTGGATGATATATTAGATAAGATAATAATAATAAAAGGCTCTTGATGTTGATGATATCACCACCACACAGCTGGTAAACCTCTTAACATCTTAACAACATCTTAGGATCAGTTGTGTGTGTGTGTGTGTGTGTGTGTGTGTGTGTGTGTGTGTGTGTGAGTAGAAATTTACGAACCCTTGCTGTAAAACTATGCTGTGAAGTTAACCTAAATCTCAACAGCCAACCTTACATGGATGGTCTATAATAGTCAACCTTACATGGATGGTCTATAATAGTCAACCTTACATGGATGGTCTATAATAGTCAACCTTACATGGATGGTCTATAACAGCCAACCTTACATGGATGGTCTATAATAGTCAACCTTACATGGATGGTCTATAATAGTCAACCTTACATGGATGGTCTATAATAGTCAACCTTACATGGATGGTCTATAACAGCCAACCTTACATGGATGGTCCTTGGAGTGTCGTCAAGCTAGCCGGAGTGTGAGACGGGGTGATATCCTTGAAATCGTAAAGTAAGTAACAATTATAGGCTGTTACTTGAGATTAATGTGTTACTTGAGTGAGTGTTACGTCACCATCACCACTTCAAGAGATCAACAGAGGTTACAGTGTTAATTTTAGGGGTCAGATTAACTCCCCTCGTTACTTCCTAGCCTCCCCCTCTCCCTGATGTGTTACTTCCTAGCCTCCTCCCCTTCCCTCGTTACTCCTAGCCTCCCCCTCGTGTTACTTTCCTAGCCTCCACCTCCGCGCATTGCTACCTATACCTGACCTCACACACCTGTAATATCTGACACATCTTAACCC